GAATATACTCAGTAGAGAGCAGTCATCCACCAAGGCCAAATAAATCAGAAAAAAGTGGTCCCCCCCCCCCAGTATGACATCTCATCATCCTGAGCTCCAACTGCACTCATGTTAAAAATGAAGTCCAGCTGATGCTGAGGCTTTAACTTAGACCTGAAAATATCCACACATCATGTATTAAAATCATATGACTTTAACATTTTGTGATATACAATATTGCAAAATACAATATATCTTTTCACTTTTTTGCTGACGATGTACAGGTCTACATGCCTTTGAAATGCAAGGGTTCACCACAACCCGTACTCGACTGCCTCAAAGACATTGAAACCTGGATGACCCTAAACTTCCTCAAACTCAATCCCAGACAGAGGTCATTGTGTTTGGAGAACCTGGTGCTGTAGAAACGTTTGGTCCTCTTGCTGTTAATTTGAGAGTCTTGGTGTGCACTTTGATCATGTTTTTAAATTTGGCAAACAGATATCCACTGTTGTGAGATCTAGTTTTTACCAGCTCAGACTTATAGCCAAAATAAAATCATACCTCCCTGCCAATGATCTAGAAACAGTAATACATGCATTCATAACATCTCGCCTGTACTACTGCAACTCACTATATGTGGGCTCGGACCAGTCATCCATCCAACGCCTGCAGCTTGTCCAAAATGCGGCTGCTCGCCTCCTAACATGCACAAAAAAGAGGGACCACATAACCCCTGTGCGCCGTTCTCTCCACTGGCTTCCTATTCGCTACAGGATTGATTTTAAAATTTTACTTCTGGCTTTTAAATCATTAAATGGCTCAACACCTCACTACCTAAGTGAACTACAACATGTTCATGCTCCATCCAGAGCACTAAGGTCCTCCAACCAGCTGCTCCTGGGCGTGTCCAAAACAAGGCTCAAAACTAGGGGCGATCGAGCCTTTTCATTTGCAGCTCCGACACTTTGGAACAGATTACCATTTAAAACAAGATCTGCTGCCACAACTGAACAGTTTAAGTCACTTTTAAAAACCCATTTATTTTCCTTGGCTTTTACCTCTAGTTGAATGTTTTATCCCAGTAGCAGTGTCTACTAGAACTTTTACTATTGTTTTGTGTTTTAATTCACTTTTAATTTTAGCTTTTATGTGTTTTTATGATGTTTTGGATGTAATGTATTTTGCCTGATTTACTGTACAGCACTTTGGTCTGCCTTGGCTGTTATAAATGTGCTATATAAATAAAGTTGACTTGACTTGACTTGATAACGCTTCACAACAACTGGATTATTAGTCAAAACTAAAAATGTATGGTTGTGGATAATTAATGTAACTTAAAGCAAACAAAGAAAAAAAAACAGATGTCCAGGCCAATCCATACAGCCAAATAGATTTCAGGCACGCTGCAGGTTGATCTATCTTTCATCTTCTAGGGATCATGATGTGCTGTATAAGACAGAGAAAATGAAAAAAGAAGATTATAAAACCACTTAACCCAAAATAAATCTTGATGAATATATAATCACATTACTTTTTTACGTTTGTCATTATAGGCATGCTCGCTACCTGGCATCCTTCGTTTCCTGGTGCTGGGGATACCTGGGAAAGCACAACCGGGTAGTGATACCTTCCTGCGTTGTTGTCCGTATCCACCAGGAGTACCCTGGTGAAGAGGAAGAGTACACCGGTTTTAGGCCTCCAATTTAAATTATTTCCAAGTTAATGTATTGTGATGTTTGGACATGTGTTTTATATAAAGTTATTTCATTTATTTAATAAACTTTTAATACGTTCCTCCATTCCCTCTCTTTCTGTACAAATCCATTCCCACACATGTTACTAACTTGGCTTCCATAGTTCTGGGTTCTCTAGTTGGTGTCCTCTCCCCTCCTCTCACTCTCAGCAGGTGTTATCAGGGCTGTGGAGTCTTGAGGAAGAGACACTCGTGTAGAGGCACTTCTGGGTTACAGAGAGGAATGTTCCTTTAACAAACGTGTCAACTTCACAGAGTCTGGAGCAGGTGGGGTAGATTTTATAAAGCTCCAGGAGCCAGTCCTCATCAAGTACTTCCCCATGTCCTGCACCTGAAATTTCAGTCATGACAGGCAAATTAAAAAATTACGAGGAATAAATTAACCCATTAGTTATTTTTTTCAATATCTATAACAAACAAAGTGAACTAACTGTTCAGTGATGGTGTCAACAAGTTCAGAAATACTGGGGAGGTAGGTGGTGTCTTTAGGATCTGCAAAGTTGGAACTGTTGTAACGGAAACTCCAAGAGAGGACATTTTGTAGGTGGGCTGTCAGGCGATGCAGTTCTCCACTTGAGTTGAGTAGATGAGAAGAGCGGAAGAACTCAGGATGCTGTGCTTCCCACAGCAACGCTCCTGTTGGCCACTGTAGCTTGAAAACCTGGAGAATACATATGCAAATAACAATACAATTGTTTGTGTGCACTGTATACAGAGTTACAGCTATGAAGTTAGAAAATAAATCTTAAATTTTTTAGCAGCACTTTGACCATCAATGTTGCAAGATTTTGTACAGCCCGTATGGTCTTCTCTCTTGCATGAAAACATTAGTAAACAGTCTGTCAGTGAAAGGTGTAAAATACGTCTCTGGTGACTTTCTGTGTGTTGTCTCACTGGCACCCCGTCTCTCTTGTTGTTGGAGGAGACTATGTGAAAACGGATAATAGTTTAATTTGCTTGCTAATGAGATATACTGTTACTGATAATACTGACACGTATAATAATCTCTAAACTGCAGTAAAATAACATGCAGTACTCGGTCAGAGAGCTGCGTAAATGCAGCCAGACACCGGTGTGGTGGCGGTCGCAGACGCGCCGTTTCAAGCCGTCTCTGTCTGGTTATTTAGAAGGCATCTTTTACAACATCAACAATAGCCGTTCTACTAGCAGAGATTATGATATGACCGATTATTATTATTATCTTACACACAGATGAAAGTTCTCTATCATATTTGATTGGAGCTGGATGCTAACTTTAATCTTACACCACACATTCCCTCTCTCTCTCCCAACCAAGAAATGGTTGAGAAACATAGTTCTCAATCTTTGCACATGTTTAAAGCTATCTTCTTGCAACATTTCACTTTACAGGGACTTTAATTGTCCCCATGATGTCAGGACATAAAACCCTGAAACACAGGGTGTGATTGACACTCTGCTCTTATGTTACCATAGGGTTCACACAACAGAGGCTTACAGCCATTTAATAGTGAATGAGGCTAAACTTGAGGTGGGTAGGGTGAGACACACAATCTTGAGCAGTTAGTTTGTCTTCTTGAGCTGCTGTTGGTGTAAGATTCAATCTACAAAGGGCAACTGTTGCTAAGGGTCCCATTACCTGAGTAACCAGTGAATTTTTACATTGGTATTGACATTCAATTCAATTCAATTCAATTAAAAAAACTAGTGGGTCTGCTCTCTAGCAGTGTGAAATAGTTGGGTTAATGACAAACGGAAAACTGCTCTGTTTAGTTAGTCCTTCAGTCTTTAGGTTTGCTGTTCGTCTGGGCCTTGCAGGTGGACTACAAGGTTGAGTGCACACCACAGAGGAAGCGCAGGCTGAGTGGGTGGAGTCCATGTGTGTGAAGCTGGAGTTTAAGGTAAAACTCTTTCCTTTTGAGCATAGCTAGAAGGTATTGTATTTCCATTTCTGTACAAGAAATCACCATGTATTTCATAGATTGAATATTTTCAAGGTTTGAAAGTGTTGATTACATTTGATATAAACAGGCAAACAAACAAGGATCTGAGTCGAGAGCCCTTTGCAGGTGCTAGCAGCCCCTAGAGGCTCAAATGGTCATTACAACTAAAGTAGTTTATAGAAATTGCATGTCAGATATTTTTCTGGTGGTAATGGGGAGGGGACCCTCAATTACAATGATGCTTTGAAAGTGCAAATATATATTAAGTTGAGATGGTGCTTGATGGTGATGGAAAGGAGAGGGACCTACACTTTGGGGACTATAAAAACACAACATGAGCCAAAGTGATTGTCAAGTGTATAGATGAAAAAACAAAGTATTGTATTAAGTGGGTTATAATGCTTATATTTTCCCAAAACATAGAAATACAACTTTGTTTAACTGCTGTGATGGTAATGTTGTGTATTTAAAAAGAAAAAAAAATAGCAGTTCAAACGCTAACTTGACAATAAGCAGAAGTTATATCACTCATCTTGAAGGTAGCCAATTCAACACAAAAGTATGTCCAAAAGTCCTGAATTTGCCCAGTGGGACTTAACAGTTTGTACTGCATACAGTCAAAGTTAATTATTTTGACCTGGACTCTGATTGTGTTGATGCTAAGCCTTGCTTGCAGCTTATACTACTTTTATAAGAGAGACTGTTGACAGTATAAACCTGCAAACACGGTCAACAAGACTATTATTAAGTGTTGATCCTCTCTGTGCTGTGGAGGCATTTTGATTCACCTCAGATGTTGAGATATTTCACTTCATGTCTGAAAGTCAGGAAATGACCTAAGTTACTGGGACATCTTGTGAGGACAATGAATGCCTTCAACATTTGTTCTTGCATGCTAACTAGTACGCTGACCAATAGACTAACACAGCCATAAATACAGTCACAATGTTGGCTTAGTTCATTAAAAATATATTTAAGCAAAACAACACTAAACAAGAATTATTATAGATTTAGTGTAAACGAGTTCTCTTCATGGTTCCTCTCAATTGCCTCAAAATTTTCAGTTTACTCTCCTCATTTCTGTAAGAGCCCACTTGTGTATCATCTTCTCCCACAGTTAGTGTCAGCCTGAGGTGATGTCATCTGAGTGCAGCGAGGGCCCATCAGAGGAGACAGGACCGATAGAGCAAAAGGAGGAAGAGATGGAGAAAGAGATAGTGGAGGTTGACTGTGGGCAAAACCAACCTGCATGTAGCCTTAGGAGGCAAGAGGAGGAGGAGGAGAAGGAGGAGGAGGAGGAGGAGGGAGGAGGAGAAACGCTGCAGTCACCTGACCATAGCAGCATGCAGGAAGTGACATCAGAAGGTGGACTGGAGCAGGGCCAGACAGAGGAGACGCTGAGGTTTTCCCACACCGACATCCAGGAAGCCAAGGACTTAGAATCAGGTGTGAGGTGGAAAAGTGTGATGGCAGTTGTTGTTGTTCCTGTGTTTTTGTTGTTGTTTTTAAAGCATACTAAAACCCAATTAAGCCGGTCTAAATGTGCTTCCAGTGCAGAAACATTCGAACAGGGAGTGTCGGATGGAGGAGCCCCAAGGGTCTGGGCCTTTCTTCTTCATGGGAGGAACAAATGGAGCGGAAATGTGAGTCAGGATTTGGAATAAAGAGAAGAGAGGAAAATAAAATCACAAATGATCACATTCAAAGTGGACATATGTAATTTAGTAAACATGCGGTTATAAATCAAATAAACAGACAGGAAGGATTTGCTCTTATCTCAGCGATGACATCATTCACCTGGCTTTGCCTGTGGCCTCTGACCTCTGGGTCTTTGTCTTATTAAAGCAGAAGTATTTGATTGATTTCCTCTCCTTCAGAGTGAGCAGTTACTGTGAGAGCAGAGGATGGAAAAGGATTCACAACAAGCACAGGAAGGATTTCAAACTCAAGTGGTGTGACACCAAATCTTCAGCCAACTACAGTAACTTCAGAGAAGGTTCAGTATGATGTGTGATTTACCTTTTGATGATAAAAGCTCTATTTTACAATTAAATGTCAAAATGTACCCACAATGCTTTCATGTTCTGGGAAAATTGTAAAGATAAAATGAAGGAAACTCGAGTTCTGCAACTCTTAAGTTAACCAGAATTAGATTTTTGTAAATAACAAGTATATAATGTTCCACTCATGTGTTGTCCGTAGGTGAACAGTTGATGTACCAGATTCCCAACAACAAGGTGCTCACCACTAAGATCGGCCTCCTCAGCAGTCTGCGGGAGTACGAGCGAGTCAGCAGCAAAGTCAACCACGGCAGAAGATCAAGGTGAAACAGATGACAGAGTATCTGCTGTCCCTTTCTGCTTCTGATTTATGAAACCTTCAGGTTGCTTTAATTCAAATCAGAAATATCACAGAGAACTTCTTTAACACAGTTAACACAGACATTATTTTGTTTTGTTTATGCACTTGTAAGAATTGCAAACAATATGAACATTTAAACATAATCCATTATGTGATTAATTTCTGTGACACATGTTCATGCAGTCAAGATGTGATCTTATCATCATTATTATTATTACTGGATTATTGTTTTTGTTTGAAGCGAAGTTGGGACGGTTTAAATATCAGGCACACTCGCACCTGCCTGAGCCTACTGAGCTTTTGCTGACTTCTACCTTAAGAGGGCCGTAAGCAAAAGCATATTACGATCAAAATTCATGTTCAACAACTTCCTAACTTATTATCAATAAGCAGTACTAAGGAGGCTAAACTCTTAGTGAATGACCTATGAGCTACAGACTATGTTCATGTAGAGTAAGGTAATAATAACTAATACTGTAAGCAGCTAGTATGCTACTAATTAGCATGCTAATACACAACTGGGTGAATATTGTGACTTTAGCATTTCTAGCTAACTGGGGTGGATTAACATCTGTTTAAATGTAAAATGATTCTTCTTTTGACATAAATAAATAGTAATAGTTTATATTACTTCTTGGAATTTCATAAAACATACTAACTTGAACAGTATGCCTTTGATTTCAAACAAACCTGAACTTTAAATGGCATTTTTAAATGTTAAGCTCAAACATGATGGTCACTGAAAAGCAGATTGGCAGTTGTAAAAAAATGCTGGGCTCTTTTTTGTGTGTTTGTTATTCTCTTTTGGGCCTCCAGAGAGGAAAAAGTCAAGAGAAAAAGTCAGCCTCAAACAAAAAGGATCTGCTTGAACGCAGGGACTTTGAGGAACATCATCAACATCAACAAAGGAGAGATGATTTCTACAAGACTTAGAAAATGGATCACTACATTTATTTTTCTCAAGCTGGCCTCTCAGGGCCTCTGTAGATCCTCCTGATATTTTCAATATCTGACTTTTTTTAAATTGAAGCCAAAGCAGTTCCTAAAACAAACTAACTGCGTCTTGTTCCTTATTTTGTTTTCCTGAACAGGAGGCTAAGAATAGAAGAGTTTATTCCCACTACCTTCCGCATGGACATGAGGGAAGAGAGGGCGGCTTTCTTTGCCCAGCAGGAGGGTAAAATGCTTCAACTTCTCACCTACATTAACCTCACACAAATGAGTAAACTGATGAAACAACAACAGCAACGCAGCACTGGTCAGACTGGATCTGTGTTTGGTTAGTGGGCTCCAGATGAAAATAAGATAAATCAAACTCAACCTGTCAACCTTCAGGGACATAAAGGAGAATAGTTTGAACCCAGCAGCGTTAACACCACAGTCGCCTTGGTGATTGTTCAATTAAACAGGTTGAGGACGTTGGAAAATAATGCACTTCACCTCCCATAAGGCCCTGATAAAATCACCAGGGGAACATGCTGTTGCCATAGAGATGAGTCAGCAGAGGGCAGGGCTGAGACACAAACACGAGGAGAAACTCTCAGCAGGATCTTAATATAGAGCTGCAGCACTGACATGAAACAAAGTCTGTTGGATATATAAGTAGAAAAGCCTCTATGTAAAGAACTGAAATGGAGACATACAGAAAATGGTGCACAGGTTAAGACAAACATGCTTATCATTGAATAAACAAAAGGGACTTGGACAGCTGGATTAGATCTCTGGGTGACGATTGAAGCTGTCATAAAGAAGACAAGGGGACAAATCAGATCAGGGTAAAGAAATGGGATAAAAATGGCCTTAAAATGTGATACCTCAAGGAGAGAAAACTCACAAAAAATGTCCTGAAACAAACAAGAAATAGCCACAACAGTAAAATTAACATTGTACTAAAAAGTAGCCTTCATCAGAGGATTTGATCCACAAAGATGTTAGCAGCAATGTAATGTAGGAGCTGGTTGAGTTGAAGCACTTATTTCTCTACATATATATCTCATATCTCAACATATTTTCAAGTTACGAGGAAGAAGAGCAGCGAACAGTTTGAAATAGTTTCAATAAAGAATAGTTGGTTTGAGATTTTAAATCTCCTACATGGACACTAGTGTTTAGTGTTAATGTGTGTTGCAAATGTTTGAATTGTGGTCAGCAAAAAAAAAAAAAATGTTGTGTTTGCTTTTGAGACTTTGACTTCTTTATATTCTGTCCGGTATAGTTTATAGTTGATCGTATCACGCTGCATCATGTTTTTTAAACTTGGTTAATATTCTAAGGAGGTGTCAGAGACAGCTATCAGATAAAGGGAGTAGAATATTTATCTTCACATTGTAGTGGAGTAACCTCAAAAACCAAAACTTTGAAGTGTTAATCACGATACAGTACTTGCATAAATGGCCTTTTGGGTTTCTGGACATGATTTTTACATAGTTCAAAGAGCGAGTGTGTGTGATTTAGGACACAGCGCTGATTCTAATTCAAAAATTTAGAAACTTGTCAAACTTTTTTTTTTTCCCCCAATTGAATGTATGATTTTTAGCAGGTGTAAGCAACAACAGGAATCAAATGTGGATCTGTAAGCCGACCGGAATGAACCAGGGCAGAGGTATTTTTCTAATGAAGAGCCCAGAGGATGTATCCGCCTTCAGACTGAAGCTGGAGCAGGCAGAGGGCCGACAGGCCAGCAGGAGGACGCAGCATCGTCAGCCTCAGGCTCGCATCGTTCAACAGTTAGTTGATATACCGGGGTACATGATGTTTTTGTATGTATACCATGACGACACAATCATCAGGTCTGCATTCTTCTCTCAGTTACATCCAGAAGCCGCTGCTCCTGAAAGGCAAAAAGTTTGATGTGCGCTCTTTCCTTCTGATCGCCTGCACCGCACCTTACATGGTTTTCTTTCGTCATGGATATGTACGACTTACCTGTGACCTCTACGACCCCAGCTCCAACAACCTCTCTACACACCTGACCAATCAGGTACACCATGACACTGTCACTATTTTAAACAAGGCAGTCAATACCAACTCCTTCACACAGCCTTCAAAATAATTAAGAAATGGTTTCATGCAAGTGGTGGTTTTATATATAGCCTTAAGTCACTGCTACAGGAACATCTCAGTCCTGAGACTTTATGAAAAACCAATCCACAATTTATTCCACGTCTGGCCTTTGTGTTACCTCCATGCAAACAATCTTAACTTCTTTGCTTGGTGAAACATTCCTGCACTGAATATTTATCTGTTTTGCTGATGTTATAGCTAAGAGTTATGCTACATTTTCATAATTGATTTGACTGACATGTTTTAGCTGTTTGCCAGGAGGCTCGATGTTTGCCTTAGCTCCACCCATTTGCCTGTTTTGTATAGGTCGAATGTAACTTTGAGACTTTTAGGGTGACGTCATTAAGACTACGTCCTTGTTTTGTGCAGTCTATGGTTAGACTGGAGTCAAAGAAGGACTTAAGAACTGTCTTAAGGACGCAATTTGACTTTGAATACTTTCTCTTGACTTAGACTTGAAACAACTGACTCAAAATGACTTAACCTTTTTACATAATATTCAGATTTTTGTAACAATCAAAAAGGTTATGATTCCCTTTTTACAATTCCATTAATTAGCTGAATGCATGCAAACCTGGCGGCATACTAATATGACATTGAGAGCGTGCTAGACTCAAGTATTAGGTTTTCAAAAACGTCAGTAAGTAGAAAAAATAAGTAAGAAGAAGGTATGCATAGCCTAATTGGGTTAATGATCAACACAATGTTCAATTGCTGAGTGGAAATTTTGAATTAGAGTTGAGTTAAAGGCACTCTGAATAAATGATAAGCTTGATTAAAATATGATGCTGTTTGATTTGAATTTGATGTCATAGTTCAATCTGTACAAGCTTCTGCAAGGAACTCTGGGGTTGTGTTGAATTTGAGTGCCCCCTGTGGACAAAGTCAGACATTTTTTTCTCCTCGCTAATCTTTTTCTGATGATCCTCCTTTCTCCTCTCTGATGCTGTCAGCTACACAATGAATCTTTGGCATGGTATTAAAAAAAAAAAAAAGGCTGTTTCTGCAGTGTACAGTCATTCTCTCTGTCTGACAGTAACCTCATGGTAGGGATAAGAGGCATGTAAAATAACTATAATGAATCCTCTTAGTGATGCTCTGTTTGCTTTTGTCTGTCATTAGGAGGCAGCTGTATTAATTTCAGCCTGCTTCATTACCAGCTAAAAACTTCTCACGGGAGCTTCAACCTGTTATGACACTGTTAGCTTCACTTTAGCTCAAATGAAAAAAAAAGAAACATGACAATATAATTCATGACAATGTTGGAGACATACTTGCATCCTATATATGTTGAAATGATTTTTCCACATTGTTTCCAGAGAGGTTCAAATAGATCCTCTGGCCTAACCTTTGGCACTAACTGTCTCTCTCCCCTGCTTCATGTGTCTGTGGTCCCCCTGCTGTCGGCCTCCAGTACATGCAGAAGAAGAACCCTCTGTACAGCCAGCTGAAAGAGGACACAGTGTGGTCCATGGAGAGCTTCAACACCTACGTCAACAACAGGTTTCAGGTTGCCAATGGTCTGCCCAGGGACTGGGTGCTGGACGTCTTTGCAGTGAGTGCTGCTGTGTGCTGTAGCTCTCAGGGACCAATTACCATCACAGTGAAGGCTGTTGGTGCTTGCAGCTAATTGAGATTGTGGTTTAGGCTCTGATGATCTCACTCCTGTCTGACTACAACATGTTATTACCAGAATCAAATGTGCTGTTTGGGGGTCATTTTAATCCATGGTGCCTTACAGTACGACAAACAGAAAGAACAAAATACACATATTGGACCTTTTTTCCCCTCCATTGTTTCTGTATGGAAAAATGAAACTTCAAACTCTAACATGTCTGTTTTATCTGACAGAAACCTTCGAGCCACCACACTCTCTGATTACAAATATGCCTTACATCTTTATATATCATAGCTATTACTAAAACTTTTAAATGGACACTCCTTCAAATGTCCTCTAATGTTAGAGTCAGTTCACCAGTGATGGGAGTAAGACACTGCCTGTGAAAACAGCCTCATGATGTCTTCTGTGACTCGAGTATTAAGAGTACAGTCAACAACCTGCTCTTAATGTAGAGCTTTTGTTATGAAGTCTGAGAAAATAACTCCGGGATCTTCAACTGACAACTCAGACAAAACCTGAAGCCTCCATATTTTAAATACAAAGCCCGCATTAAACTGCTGTCATTACCTCACAGTATGAAGCTGCATTATGGGGTGAAGGGATGTAGGGTTTTCATTTTTTGTTGTTGAATATTATTAGGGACTAATGTCAGCCTAAAGTCAGAATTCTTCAAAAATGTTAATTTTTAATGACAGTAATCATCATCTGCTGATTTTAATTTGTGCATTTCCTTTAAAAGATCTGCCTTTATGAATTCCCCAAACTTTACAGACCTGTCAAGCTAATGTACTGGGATAAGAACAAGCTTATTGGCAGTCATATCAAAACTTATATTACTTCACTGGAATGACAACGTTTAGCTCAGCTTCCTTCAGTTGGTCTCGGTTTCACTTTGAGCTAACGTCTCTGACAGATCCTATGAACGATGTTAAGATGACGCCTGTAAGTAAGACGCAGTGACAAACTGAAAGCTTCTTTTTGGCATCAAAGGATGTACGATCAACATCCCCCTCCAAAAAACCTAAATATCAGATATCCCAGAAAAAATTAAATATTCGATGAATAAATGAATAATTAGAATAATAATCATTGAAGTGACTATCTGATGTCCAAATGTCTTTAAAGTTTTTTGGGGGGGCTTTTTGTGCCTTTATTGTAGAGATAGGACAGTGGATAGAATCAGAGAGAGAGAGAGAGTGGGGAATGGAACCACAGGTCAGAACACTAACCTCAGACCTCCAAACATGGGATGCGCACTAACCACCGCGCCACCAGGTCAAATTTCTAATCATGCTTTAATTCACTTACTGAGGTATATGGAAAGGTATTAATGCGTAAAAATAGACAAATGTCCAAAATGAAGTTCCTGTTTATTGTCACATGAAGCAGACAAACCGTGATGATCATATGATGAATTCTTGTTCCCGAGATTATAAATGTTTGTTGTCATTCATTTATTTCACAGTACGACAGGTAAAAATCGATGTTCCCACCACCTATGACATCATTTCCTGTTCCACAGTGACCTATAAACACTCGAACATACCGGCTGACCAATTAACCCAAGTGATCAATTATCACCACCTAGTGTCCAAATAAAGTAAATAATAAACATATAAACCAAAACCGTTGAAACACACTACATAAACACACACACACTAAATTAGCTCCTACAATAATTATGAGTAAGAATGTATTTTAGAAACAAATTAGATTCAGGAAGTACTTCAGCTTCTATTTATTTATATCACTCATTCATTTCAGCCTGATCACTTTTTAGGAACTGTCCAAAAGTGTCTCATATTTCCCCTCTGACAGCATACAGTATGCACATTTCTCCAAAGAAAGACGGAACATTTGACTTTAAATCATGGCAGGCAGTTATCTGTGTTGACTGTCAATTTCTGTAAAGATCGGTTCATTTGAACTTCCAGAGCATTTTACAATTGCGATGACTGCCGAACATCCCGCTCTTCATACAGTGGCAGGTGTTGCAAATAAATATTTCTTTATTCTGTCCTAGGTGTTTGAACTTGTTCAAGCTTGTTGTTTTAGTTTTCTAGCTCATTTCTCTCTCATCTGCTGCACCTCCAGCATCAGGAGGCAGCTGTTTTCAACCAAGCAGCACTTAACAGAAGACAGACATCTCAAATGAATAATAGCACTGCAAACTCTTTTGAAACACATCTTTATGTGGTGAAGAAAAAACCTCATGCTAAGACTTAGCTCAGACTTAGATAGTGGCTGCTTTAGTGGAGCTGTATTTTATATATGTATTTAATCAGCACATACATTTCCTGCCCCTAATTTGTGTTTCCTTTCTAAACACCAGAAACGCATGCAGCAGATCATGTTGCAATGTTTCTTAGCTGTCAAATCGAAGCTGGAACGCCGACTGGGCTTCTTCGACCTGATTGGCTGCGACTTCATGGTTGATGAGGACTTTAAGGTGGGTGATGAGCACAAAATGTTAAATGCTTTGTGTTATTATAATGTATATATATATATTTTTTTATAGTGTCTTGTGTTTCTTCCAGGTGTGGTTGTTGGAGATGAACTGTAACCCTGCTCTGCATACCAACTGTGACGTGTTGAAAGAGGTGATACCCAGCACTGTTGTGGAGACACTGGGTGAGCTCATGAATTTTAGGTTTATTCGATTTTAAGTCAAAATCCCCTTCATCAAATATTTACTGATGTGTCTCCTGACAGGCTGATGTGTGATACCTCACAACAGTTTTTACCTGCTGTCTCTCCCTCTTCTCTCCCTCTTCTCTAGATTTAACTCTGGAGATCTTCAACAAGTGTCGTCTCAGGCAGACCATTCTCCCTTTGGACAGCCAAAGAGAGTTTGTGCTGCTGTATAATGGAGAGCTTCCTCCCGATACAGAGCTGGCCTGCAGCAAAAGTCAATTCAACCAGAAGAGATCCAAAAAGACTGAAGTCGGGAGATGTAAGTCAGGGAATGAGAGCACAGCTTTGCCCTCAGCGTCCCCTGATACACCTGTGAATGTTTCAGAGGACAGTCAGTCAATGTCCTCCTCACATATCCATCGGAGCCGTCTCTCTCCGCACAGATTTTCACATCCAAACAGCCATAGCACACAGATTGTAAAATGTAAGAAGGTCAGGCCTCGGGTTGAACTCAAGTTGAGCAAATGCACTTTTCCCCATCAGTTGAAGGCTGTGGACGACTTGCTGCACTCAGCGACTCAGGAGAAGACATCACATCGATGTCATCACCATCAGTGAGTGAAGCTGTCTCTATCTGTGAATCCCCTCAGACAACAAAGTCAGAGTCCCCTTTGTATGCTGGATCTCCTCCTGTACATATACATGTATGTGGAGGCAAACCTGAAAGAAGAAAGGAGCTTGGGGAGGAAAATCCCGGAGAAGACTCGAAGTTGAGTGTTGAGACCAAAGAGGAGATGTGATGTGTAATTATGCAAACTGCTCGGAACTAAAGAACTTCTGAAAAAAGTCAAATGTTTGGACATTCATTGATATTTTACTGTCAGTTTAATACACAAAGAAATGCTGTTGTGATAACATATCCTCTTATTTATAACTTGAATTATGATAAACCTCATCCCTCTTCTTTGCCATTTAGCTACATTTGACTTTCCTGAAACCAGTTTCTTTACTGCTGCACTTCTTTGACTATATTTATTTATACAGTTGTCTTACACATTGTTTAACTTTCCCCCTGATTTACTGTATATTCGGTATGCCATAAGGTCTCATTTACCTTACGCATTTTATGTCAGTGATTTACATTTTTATTTAGATCACTAGGCTTTGTTTTCCACCTGATATGACGGCACTTTTTACTTTATTTGCTGTTCATTCTGTCTGTTTCATGTGCATTTATTTTCCTTATGAAGAAGCACTTTGAGGTGCATTTCCTGCTTCATCCATCCATTATCTATTCCGCTTTTCCCATTCAGGGTCGGGGGAGCTGGACCCGATCCCAGCTGTCATTGGGCGAGAGTCAATCGCAGATCTGACATAAAGAGACAGAAAACCAGCCTCAATCACATTCACACCTACAATGTAGAGTCACTAATTAACCTCACTAGCATGTCTCTGGACTGTGGGAGGAAGCCGGAGTACCTGGAGAGAAACCACGCGTGCCCCACTCTGAAAGGTTCTTGTCCGACCGAGAACGGACCAGGAACCTTCTCACTGTGAAACAACAGCGCTAACCACAGCAGACCTACATTTAATACAAATCAGGTTCATTATTGTCCCTAAAGAGGGACAGCTTTGATGTTGATTTAAAAACAGATTTTCCCTCCGATGATGGAGGGCTCATAAGCTTTAAGTAGAGCAAAGTGTCACAGTGTATTTAGGTATTTTACAAGAATGATGCAAAATCACTTTGAAAAAAAGAAAACCACAATAAACTAAAGGATAGTGGCACAGCATGATTTAAAATTCAGAGAAATCATCTTGAGGGTAGACCTGGATTATTTAGAACTCCAGAGACGTCGTACTTGTTTTAAATAATATGATTCAAGTCTTAACATCTTTTTTTAAATGAAGTACAGACTGAGGAGATCCATGTTCTTATGGTGTCCTGTTTCCTGTTTTGTCTTTTTTAAAATGTACTTGCTGCATCTGTTGTTTTACTATGATGTCATCTTACTGTTAGTGCCAAATATCAACCGGTCATGTCCGAGAGCAGCTCCTGCCCTGTGAGACACTCAGACATGATCGTGTCCAAACCCCTCCAATGCAACACCTCACTGTAACTCAACACAAAGCTCCACTCTGCAGTTGTTGTGGCTTGTTGTTTTGACTGCAGCCCTTCACCTCTCTGTTTCATAATTAATAATTATCTCACTTCCATCCACATTCAGACTCTGTTGCATGTAAACACAGGCGGGTTTATGGTCCCATCTTTCCCAACAGGATGCTTGCTTCATCCACAGCGAGGAGACTGAGAGCATGACTTATCCACATGAGGAGGATGATGCGTTTTTTTAAATAATAATCAGCTTTGAATCACACTTTTTTTTTCATACGAGCGCGACAGTGTGGGTGTTAGAAAACCAAACTGAGGAAGCAGCTCAGTCAGACAGACAACTGACAGGAAGGAACCATATGCTGCGATTTGACTAAAACTTTTTAGCCACTTTTATCTTCAATTCCTCTTCAAAAGCGTTTGCACCTTTCGTTTTGAGCCTGAACTACATGAACTACATGCTGGCAAAAAGGGGGAACTAGAGCTTAGCACTACCCCCCTCCTCCTCCCTCCCAGTCTTCAGCACACAATATCCTCTTTTGGACCCAACCTGCCCCCGTTTTTGTGTTATCTCTTTGGTTTTAGCGTGGCACACACACGCAGCGGGGATGATTGTCTGGGCAGATGGTGCTCAGTGTGTGAACTAGAAGCTGAGACAGAGGCAGAGAGGGACAGAGTCTTCGTCCACCATGGGATGCTGCAGTGTGACCCAGAGGCATACTGGAGTGGACGAGGTGGGCCCCGATGAGATCGAGCTCCTGGAACTTTCTGGTGACAATTTAGGGTAAGACATGAGAACAAGATTCCAGTTTAAAGCTAGAAACTTAAAACAGAAAACAAATAGTGGGAAATGTGCACTACTGTGGCAGCACTTGTATGCTGAATACTAAATATTAAAGTGGATGTTAGGGGATTATATGATCTGAAATGTGAATTAAGTTATATTTATTTTGTTTGTCCTCCGCTTCAGAGACTTTAGTTTGCTTGTTAGGTTTGCTTTAATGTGGCTTTGTGTATCAGCAAGCTCTGCAGGAGGAAGTGCACTCTATGCACTGGAGAGAACACTGTAGCAGCTTCTCTTTCAACCTTTGTGGTTTCATTACGTTTTTTACACAGAACGTCAAACAAAAGGAGAATTCCCCTTTTCAAAGCTTTCTTCCTGGGAACCACTTTTTTCTTGTTTGTTTTTTTACACAGCTACAGGGTTTGCTTTTAATCTAAAACCTTCAAATTAAAAGGTTATTTTAAAATAGTGAATCGTCATGACAATACCTACAGAACAACAGACTTCTTAAATATGATTTTCACCCATCAGCACCCTGCAGAACAACAACACGGGAGAACTAATTGGCTCTTATTTACCAAACATGAACTTGGGGGACTCGGTGATGCTGCACTGATGTGATTAGCAGATTACTATAAGACAATGACTGACGCATGGAGGCCCTAAATAAAGGCAGGGCGGGACAAATCCCCCGCTCATTTTAAGGCAGGGGGGATTACAATGGGTTAATGACAACAGTGGTTAACAATCCTTACGTGTGGCTGCTAAATGATTGCTACATGGTCACAGGCCTGTCACAACACCGAGTGTTATCAAGAGGCAAAAAATAGATGAGGGACTCAATCAGAAATGTGTCATGTAGGCCGGGTTGAAACGGACAAACAACTTCTTACATGTGTCAATATATTATGAATGTTTAAAGCACTCTACCTTGGAGCCCCCCGCAAAACAAAAGCTGAGACCCTCCAGCACAGCCACAAAAAAAGAGATGCATTGATGTAAAAAAATGAAGATAATTTCTGATTGTCAGAAACCGCATTAGAGCTGTAGCTTTATTAAGCCAGATGCAAATTGTATTTTGACAACCTTAGAGCAGATAAAGCCCCCCCCCTCCCTAAACTGAGTTTGAAACTATTAATACTATTACCCAATTGAACCATCTTACTGCCATTCCCAACCTTCTTTACATTTCTGAACCTTTCTCCATTTGACGTTTGATTTAAAAGTTGCAAATGGCGCATGGACAAATGTCACACAAAACAGAAGTATATACTCCAGGCAAATTTATGACCAACGCGATTAATACCATAAAACTTGCACTGAAAGGATTCAGCACTGTAAGGAGTTTCACATAGTGTCACCCCAAACAGAGAAGTACTGCTGACTTTAGACGAGTTTACTGAAGTTCACCCAACTCCATGCATCTCTCCCCAAAGACCAACAGAGAGTTACAGAGCTAGACAAGCAGAGAGGAAACATCTTGACACCTAGGCACTCTACTTATTTAGGCATCAGTGTTAAAATAAGAAATCTAGATTCAGATTCTTTGCTTAATGTCCTCTATTGAGGTTATTTGTTGTATATATAAAGAAATGTAAGTCATTCACAGAGTGTGCAGGCTTAGTTGGGCCCATTATAGCTGAGGGCCCAAAGCTGCTGCTAATTTATTTTTGCTGTGGTTTTTATCTGCAGCCAGAGGAAGCATGGGTTGAGGAGGTTACAGGGGTTGTGTTCTATGATCAGCGCTCTGTTACTGGTTGCAGTGTGAGCCAAGTCGCTATTTTGGGCTCATTTCCTTAGATCTGGTTGTTGCGTTGGAGTCTCAATATTGTTTCCTATTGGTTTACCATGGGTGTAGCAAGTCCAAGCATCCACCCCAATGAAACACATACAAACAGGGGCCTAAAGGTTTGGACAGCTCACAGTCTGCCTGACCTACATTAAGGTGCAGGAAACAACCACACAAGAACGGGTACTTTGGCATTCATCATGTAGAACAAAAAGTAGCAGAAACTGAGCCCACGTCCAAGCTACAATGAGGCCATGAAGCTAACTACTGTACCACACTGTCAGCTCTGACTGCTGCTGCTGCTACATGACAAAGATGTGTGGTAAAATGTGTGAACAACACGTGTGTTTGTTCAGGGTGTGGAGTCTGGGAGAAACGAGGCTTCAGCTGTCAGTGAGAAGCAGCAGAGAAGAGCATCATCTACCACCACCACCACCTCCACCTCCGCCGCGCTACCCCTCGATACAACACAAGGAGCAAGAGGTTACTCTGTCTGTGTGTGTGTGTGTGTCTGTGTGTGTGTGTGTGTGTCTGTGTGTGTCTGTGTGTGTGTGTGTGTGTGTGTGTGTGTGTGTGTGTGTGTGTGTGTGTGTGCACACATGTTTGTGTGTCTGTGTTGATGTAGGACTGTGACCAACTTCATTTTGCACATCATCATGCACATTTCATTCACAGGCTTTTTGTTAATTTCTGACAAATAATTGAAGCACCTTTTGGTGCCCAAGCACAGAGCGTGTGGAGATGTGCCTCTAACTGTATGAACATTAACTGTTTCCACCCTGAGCTGTTATTTATGATCTGAGGTCAGACACACTGCACACATATTGAGGGAAATTTCCATGACAAAACTGAGAGATTCTGCAGTCCCTGTTTGAGGTGATTCAAACTTTACACACACAAAAAACCCAGGAAGCACTGCTGTGTTTCCACTTGGATGATCAATTGTCTAAATATGAAATATCAAAACCCTCTAAGGAACAACACAACATGATTCCTAAGGCGTTTGTTCATCCAAGAGAGATACAGTTTGGAAACAGATTCCTCTCTATTATGCTCAAAGAAACAACAACTGGAGGCCTGAAACAGACTCAAACCTGCTGTGTAATGCTTGACTCATCACATTGTGGAACATGGAGCCAAATATAAATACTGATATAAGAAGGATCAACATTATGAAGGTACTTTTCAACCGAAAAAAGCAACTTACAGTACACCACATTGGGAAAGCAGCCACACTAGAAAAGCTTCAAATCTTCAAAAAGACAAAGTTCAAAATGGGAAGTATGTGCTGATACAGTGTTGTGTCTGCAGGTGGTACTGTGGGGCAGGAGCAGAGAGGAGCTGCACCAAAGGATTTACTCCCAGCAGCCAATCAGAGACTGGGAGGGCCAGCCTCCACACATGTATGGAGAGATCATCTACTCCTCGCTTGTGTCTCTCTACAACAGCTACACACAGGTAACAGAGCCCCTTAGGCTCCTTTAAAACATCATCCCACAGGGGCTCGTTTAAAAGTTGACGTTGAGAATCACCTCATAGTTTCTATCTTTGTGAAAACACACTGACAGATGTTAATTAACAACCATATAGACTCTCAATGATCTGTCAGTGATGTATTGTTTTAGTTTGTTCTGTGTCTTTAGTCTTAACTCTCACTTTTCTTTGATATACAGGAAACCAGTGAACACTTCCTGGTGTTGTTCTCTTTCCACCTGCTGATCCTCTCCCTCGACCACACAAGACAAGACTTCCGTTATGGGGTATTGTTTGTGCATTTTACTTTAAAAGGACAACTGCATCTATATCTTATCTTCTTATCTTGTTCTCCCACAGCGGTGTATAAATGTGTGCAATTGGCATTAATATTGAAACTGATGGACACTTTTCATAGCAGCCCCTGCCATCAGTGTGTGAATACTGAACATGTAGGTGTGAACCTGCAGTGTGAAAGTGCTCAGAAGACTAGAAAAGAAATAAACAAACTCAAGTCCATTGAACATTTATCGGTTTGTGCTTCTGTGTTTACATGTGGATGGTTGTTTGCTTTAATTGTTTTTATTTATTTATTTATGAATGGAGGCAGCTTAATTTATGCAGCACTTTGAGTCCAAGACAAATTGCCCCAAGAGGAAGATAAGACGTATTGCATCGTAATCGCATCGCATGGTATCTTATTGCATGGTATCGCATGGTATCGCATTGTATTGCATTGTATTGCATTATGTTGTATTGTATTATATGATCAAGTTTAAAACGCAGCGTGCCCATGTTTACACATCGCTCAAATTTGCTTCCAGTGGGCATTTATTGTTGCGTGCAGAATAATGGCGTCCAGCATTGACGCTGGTTGGTTTTGTCTTGAGAATGTCTCTGGAGCACAATTTTATGACGTTTTTTTTCCTCCTCCTGTCTCACAGGGCATCCTCCCCCTCTCTGGAGTTTCCTTACAACCTGTCTCTCTGGATTCTGAGTCGTCACATTCGCCTCACATGTTCGAGATCAGCAGTGAGTCAGTGGAAATGACACAGTCTGGCTGAGGCATGGTGACACGGTTTAAAGCTTAATATAAATGCTGTTTTTTCTTTTACCCAGGTCCAATGGTGGAATCCAAGGTGTTCAAATGTGCCGGAGCTGCAGATTTACAGAAATGGATGCAACATGTTGAAGACAGAAAATACAAATCAATGACACAACCAATGAGTCCCTCCCACTGCGCGCTCTCCTATCTGGTAATGAACAACTGTTTATAGAAAGCAGTCGATTTACATCGGAACCATTAAAGTGACTGTACACTGTTTTTCTTCCCCAGTTACCCTGTGACGAGCACTGGAAAAGAGAAGAACTGAAAAAGTACTTACACCAGGCTCCCATAAGGCAGTGGGAGGGTTCACCGATACAGCACATGGGTCAGCCAGGATGTATATCTTTTGTCCATATCATCAACACACACAGACAGGTAATAAAAAAAATCCCTTAATGCCTGTGAGTTTGTACATGACGTCTATAATTTTTTGACACAGTGTGATTCTATAAGAGAAGAAAGGTCTTGTTAGCATACGTCAGCATTCATTAGGACAGTAGATTGTTACTAATAATGAAAATGACAGAGGCTAGAAAAACAAGGCTCAAGCTGTAACAAACTGTATCTTGAGTGGATACAACTGTACGGAGCCTTGATTTGGATCAATCTTTGGTTAAGTGTCAGAGCATTTTATATGCTGATCTGAACAGGACGACCTATAGATATTGTGGGCTTTGTGTTTGCAGGGACTCCTGGAACGACTGATGGTCCTCTTCCCTCAAGAAGTCCTGCTGCTGTCAGTGGACAACAAACGGCAGAATATAAGATATGAGGTAGTGTAAAATGACTCTATGGGAAAATCCCATAATAACACCTCCTGTAACACTGTGGCATGACGGTGAGTCCCGCTAATGTTCACACAGCACGTGTTCTCTTGATACACGACCTGTAGCATGGGCGGAACATTTTGTAACTCACACCTGATGTTTGCAACGTGATTCAGCTTCTCAGTTTGTAGCTTGAATCTGATTTTGTCATCAGTCGACATTGGTACCATAATGTGGATTTGTGCATCGCCGTATTGAAACCTTGAGTTTGGCATTTTGATTTTATATTTTGGGAGAAAACACAAAGTTTAAGCTCTTGCATTAGCGTGGTGAGGTTGCATTGGTAATCCAAGGTAAATGATTATTATTTGTAAATGTGAAGCAAGCAAGCAGAAAAAAAAAGGTTTTAATCCAACATTTCTATGTTAAGTGTTCATTAATTGTAATAATAACCGTTTTTCATCTTCTTGTAAAATGTTTCAAATGTCTCATGACTCATCCTGCATTTACTAACTTTTCGACCAATTAAAAAGCTATGTGGAAGCTAACGATCAGGGTAAAAGTTCATGTGATTCAAGTGATCTGATCATTTCTCCTCCTCTCTCACAGGGAAGGTTACCTCGACATGGCATCAAAGCCGTGGAGAGGTCAGCGCTGCCTGGACGCCTGGAGTTTGAGCTCATAGGTAAACTACTAACATCAATGCTTCTTTTATTAAATGTAGCTCTAGATCAAAGTCAGAATACATTAATTGAGGAAAACACTCCTTATATATACTTTAATCCGGGTTGTGTTGTAGGTGAGCTGGTGGAGCCTCTGCTCGTCTCTTGTACCTGTCAGGAGGATTATTGGAACTGGATCTTCCAGTTACAACAGGTAAGACTGCACCATGTGACATCTTTAAAGGAGTATACTTTTAACGGTAAAGAAAATGTAGGAGTGGTAAAATAATTATCTTAAAGAGGCTTAAAGGCAAAGTACAGCTGTGAGGAACTGCAGGGTTGCTGACTTCTTTAAAACAGGATTGAATCCATTCTTAAATCAAAATTATTATTGATCTTCAGTTTTTATTTACAGTCAGCATAAAACCTGCCTCAACCCAGTTTATAAAAGTCATGTTTCATGTTGGTAACTTCTACTACCTCAGCCAATATGTGAAAGTGCTGCAGTTCACAAGACACAACACCGAGTTGTGTGTGTGGAACAAATAATGTCTCAATTATTTTAAGTAATTCACTGTAGAAATTTCAAATTAAAATTGATCTCCAAGGGAAACAAATCACAGACCTCTTCTGCAGTTACTTCAAATAACCAATGCTAATCCCAAACTGAACTGGAGCTGGAAGCACAGATTATTTGGAAGTTCTCGGGACAGTAAATCATGCACAACATGTTGGTCATGTGACATAAAAGGGAAAATAAACTCTTCTTTTAAGTTAAACTGTTTGTGTCTACAAGACAAAATGATGTGCACCAAAGGTAATGTACATATTACCTTTAAATGTGCAGCAGCTTTGCATCAACACAGTGTCTGTTTTCTCTGCAGCCGGACAGAAGCGGCCACGTCTCTGTGAGTCCTCCTGCACCCCCCATCAAGCCAAAAGTGCAGAGGAGCAGGAAGGAGTCGCAGGAGCCGATGCTATCAGACCAACATCACATCAACGGAAACAGCTGACTCCTCAGATTCAGCGCAACTTGAGAAATGATTGTAAATATAAATATTCAAGTGTAGATAGTATGTAAATATAACACTTTGATGACTTGAAGCAGGGACGTGGTCCTGAAATATGCTCACACTGATTTTGACATGATGTAGTCACTTTGAGCGGCTGAAAGTAGTGTTGTAGTACTTAAAAATCGGTCTTGGTCTTTTTGAAGGTCTCGATCTCGTCTCAGAATCGAAAGCATTTTTACACGATCACAGACTGGACAGACTCAGGATTTTAAATCAAGACTGGTCAAGACCACCACTGATCAGCTATATTTCCACATCCATACTGTGATTAGAAAACGCCTCTTTCTAATAGAACAAATAACTTCAATTCAATCATAATATTATTTGTTTCCCCCAGTTACCTTCCAGGTGTTAGAGTCTGTGAGTGACATCCCGCTGCACACAAGATGATGATTGTTCTGTGATATTTAAGGTCTTGGTCTTGACTCGGTCTCGTTCCCTAAATGTCTCGGTCTCCAAGCATTCTGGTCTTGGTCTCGGTTTGTGTGGTCTTGACTACTTCACTGAAAGACAAGTCCAGCTCTCTTCTTGGGGTGAAAAACAGGAACAGGGTCATGTCAGAGTAAAGATGATGAAGAAATGTAGATGTAGAGATTGTAGAGTTTTATGTGTAATAAAGAAAAATAAACTAATAAACGATTTGATGTTTTTCTCTAATAAAGATTGTTTGACTTTTTCATGTTAAACAGTTTCAAGGTTCCTTAGAGTCATTAATTACAGACAACATAAAATGTAAGTATTTATTTCAATGGTTAATCATTTACAGTAGTGTGCACAGAGCCAGTAAACATCCAGTGTAAAACAGGTTTTATATTTATTGCTGTATTAGAAAAGAATCAACTAAAAAGTTAAAGACTGTGATAATAATCGTCCGATCTTTGTTCATATAAATTACAGAAACCATTCTCTACTCTTTATACACGAGGCCATCTACAGTAAAGATCATTTACACGAGAATCTCCTTAAAGAACAACCAGCTAGAGGAGTATAAATATACATGCTGCGACAGCAACCAATTACAACTAACAACACAGAAAGAGAAATCAGAAGGGTATGAAACTCCTCAGGTTTACGTCTGAATGGGGATTATAGTGGTTCATTAAAGACCGGTCTCTGCTCAGTCACACTGAGCTTTGAGTTGTTTGAGAATGTTTTACACTTAATCAGGGAATAATGTGGATGATGTAGGTCTTTATATCATTTAGTGCTATCATCTCATAATGTCCAGCTCTGGGGCGTGTCAATTTTAAATGTTAGTAAATGTGGAGCTAAACTTGCACACATACCTCACAGACGGTCAAAGTAAAGATGTCCAAAGGTGAATTTGTCAAATCTATTTTCTGTTCTTTAGGAGGGACATGGCTGACATACAGACTTCACATTTACAGACTTATATTGTCAACAAATGTTGAGTCAAAATGTCATATATGAAAAATTTGATTCTGCAGAACGTATATTGCTGTTGGTCTCTTACCAGATATGTAATGTCCAGTAACGTTGGGGATTGATTAAAGCAGGCTTTCCCAACCTTGGAGTCCTGACCCCAAATGGGGTCACACGGAATTCAAATTGGGTCCCCTGAAATTTCTAATTATTGATCAAAATAAAATATAGGATCATTCTGCCTACTTTAAAAACATGCAGTATCTCTGTCTGTCTCTCGGGATCCATGCGTCATGTGTCCAGCATTCATTTCCAGCCTTGTACTACGAGCTCACCTCGCTGTGCACATCGTACAGTGAGAAAATAAAATCCCTTTTTGCACAATCCTCAACCCGGCCTTTCTGCCCTGACTGCAAAAAAATACCTGAAAAAGCCTTAATGTGATCTTAAATGAACGTTTACTTGCAAACCAGTAGAAAATAAACTATCACATGATTGAAATTTGAATCATTTGAGCAGAAAGCTGGATGGGGTTTGGATGTCTGGGTCCACAGAGTTTGGTGAAGTGGGGTCACAAGCTAAAAAAGGTTTGGAACCACTGGATAATTTCCCATTGTCCAAATACTTATCCTCCCCTCTCTACACTGTCTTTGGTACTCAACCCTTAGCCCACTTCATTCATGGCACAATATTTTAAAAATCGCTCACAAATTGGTTGTTAAATTCCGACTTAGACCCCATCACATCTTGTTTGTAGTTGAAGCAAACATTACTCAAACGTATGTAAACAGTGCATTTGTTGGGGACCATTTTTTCAGTTGTTGATGAATACAAACTTGCAGTAAAAGTTAATTTTGGCACTGTTGGTGAGATCAAATCAAAACAAAGTCCTTGCAGCAATATGGCAGAGGGGAAAACACAAGGTTTTAGCTTCATGGCTAATGAAGTGTACGTTCATTGTTATTTTGAGTCTTTGCATGGCGAGCCCAGATAGTTAGCCTAATCTCAAATGGGATTGCTTTGCCGTCTTGTACAGAAACTACAGAATCTGTCCTTCATTAATGACAATACATTACAATAATGTAAGAGAATGTGATATTTATAAATTTGGAAAGAAAATATTCCGCAGTTTCCTCGTGACGAAAATAAAGTGGCAAACTTTGAGTTAGCGTTATTGTACTGCTCCTCTGGCAGGAACTGTGGAGTTTACAAATTTACCTTTGGACAAACGATGTGCTGGTAGACGTGTGTATACAACACTGACCACTGAAAACATGGTCATGATAATGGCATGCATTCACAGAAAGAACACATTAAGTTTCCATAATTTCCAAAAATCTTTTCTATCTACAATAGGTACATGGAAAAAGTGGCAGCTGCACAAAATCTTCTGAAAGGTTGGACATTTTGTTTGGCAGAAGTGTGAGAAATGTCCCAATGTGAGCGTTTGTCAGCAGAATCTTATCACATAAGAGTCTTTTACACTGAAAATAAAAAGAAGCATTCAAAGCTTTACAGCTAGCATGCTTAAAGAAAATGCTGCTACACAGATTAGCGTCCATGCTAGAACCAAAACGCCGGCTTCTTTTAGCAGCTGCATACTAAACATACAGTAGGTCCCCCGTCCATCTAAAATAATAAAACCATCCAGAAGCTTAAAAACAGTGAATTAGCTACTGAAATGCACCTTTGACGTACAAAAAGTGGCAGTAAAAATGGTCACACTTCTCCCACCAGTTTCCGTGTGACACATTTTATGCGGATATTTTCTCTGAGGTTGCGGAGGCGCGCGCTGCGACTCGTGATTTCCTCCACATAGGTTTTGGGGAACCAGCCCCGCTCCCCGTCAGACAGCCTGATGCCTTCTACCCAGCCTGGTCAGAGAAAACAGACACCAATCATCAGCTTTTTAAATCCTCACGTCACATACATTTAGGAGCAGGTTTAAGATGGAATGCGGTTAATCTTGTAAAGAAGGCTCTATCCAAACTCTCACCGTCACTTGTAATGGTCTTAGCATGAAGAATGTCCGCCTTCTCCAGCGTTAACTCATCATGCTCTTGGGCCTGGTAGCTCTTGATGCACTGAACCTGAGAGATATCTACAATGAAAGAAAAAAAAAAGACGAATGAGTGGACCAAAAGGTTTGCACTTTTTAAAGATTTATGTTGCACCTAAAGCTCTCTGCTGACCATCATTCTCGCTGGCCTGCTCGATGTCTTCCAGGGGATTAGATGGAAACATGGCTGTGATCCATCTCTGCTTGCCGCTCCTGGGTACACACACAAAAAGAAATCAGTCAAACTATGAAGATTGGACTGAAGAGGGCAGATTGTGTTCTCTGCATTGTGTGGTTGCTCACTCAGTGTGTGACTTTAGCAGGATCTGGTGTTTGAGCTGCTGGCCTTCACACAGCTGCAAATGGAAGATGAAGCCTGAGATTCCCTGCAGCTTCTGACTGAGATCCTTCACTTTCAACTCTCCGATCTTGGCGTGCACAAACACCATGAACTTCCATGTGCTGCAAAGAAAGATAAAAAGTAGTTCTATTACTGAGATCACTAATAGGCAAGCCAATACAATCCATTTGTTTGTACATTGAAAACCAGACGGTAAAACCTTTTTGTGTATACTTTTTTATCAGGTTTTTGCAATCAGAGCCTTGACATGGTGGATGGAAAGCAACAAGGTTTGTAGAAAAATGAGATAATCCTGTTGAAAGTGGGTGCAATCATTAATGTCAGTGTCAATGCCATGGGGTGAGTGTTATGTCTGCAGGTTGAATTTTGAATAGATTTTTTCTGAACTACCACTAAAATTGTTCAAACCCAATAAAAATATTTAAAGGAAAAGTTCTGTCTTTAAATAATAGTTGGTGTTGGCTCTGGAAAGCAGTATCCTCTCTGCATAGTAACTTTGCAAAAGCAATGGTAGCAGCAGTTGCTAACCCTTTCAAATGTTTGTTACATGTCTGGCACTGTTACAGTATAAATACAAAAATCTGAAATTTGGGTCAGAATTCTCTTATTGAGGAGTTGGTGGAGGGTCCTGAGGGAAGACCAGCATCAGAACCAATGATCTAAAGCAGTGGTTCTCAACTTACGGCCTGTGAGTGTCATTCTAAGATAGAATTGAAAAAGTGAGCCTATACTTTAGCTCGATTAAATAAATGAATACATCATGATTCTGTGTAATGTTGAGGTCACTGGTCTGTTTAGTAGAAAACTGCAGATCACTCACTCCTTCCTCCGTGACAGCAGGAGACAGTCATTGAACAGGTGGAGGTACACAGGTTTGGTGGGTAACTTGAGCTTTGATCCAGAAATGCTCATCATCTGAGTGTCCACCTCCAGGAGCTCACCGTGTTTCACCAGCCAGCGGGACTGAGAGATCAGAGGAAAGATCTGCAAAGAGAGGGAGAAGATGACGGTTAAAAAGATAAAAAAAAAATAAAACAATAAATTAACAATCAGGACAAAAAAAATGTTCAGTCACCTTTCCCTCGAAATTAATTTTCTTATTGAGGTGAATGAGCTCCTCCATCCTCTTCATGGACTGCACACTGGAGTTACATTCTTTGATGATCTACGGAGACACACAACAACACAGTTATTACTGTTGTGCCTCAGCAGCCATAATACTGCTGCTCCTCCAACGTGCTATTAAGGACCATAAACACCACCTTTTTCAGCTCATTGAAAGCTTTAGTGGCAGTGTCCTCATCTCGGGAGCCGGGAGTTGTCCTCTTTAAGATATTCTGAAAAATGAAGACGTTTTTGAAGACATGCCAAAGAGAAATCAATACTCTTACTTGTTAAGGAAAAATACTGCTGCGGCAAACTCCTGAGCCTGCTCCAAATATGAACTCATTTACAGTTCTGTGTAATTTGGCTACAAGTGCGAACATGAATTCTGCAGCGAATGTTTAATCACGTACCTCTACCAGCATTTTAAGCCGTGTGATCCTCTGAAACGGGAGGATTAGAAAAGAGGTCAGAGGAAGTCTTTGGCAGACGGGGTCCTCCTCCAAACGAGCCAGGATGCCGGGGAAACGAGGGTTCTCGTGTCTGTGGGGAAATGAACAGAAAAAAACTTTCATGACTTTGAGTAAGTTGAAATCCCCGCATGCTTTTCACTCTAAGAAAAAATGTTCATCTACTCTGGATGAGCCATCAACAAGTTAAGTCATGTAAGTGTAAAATAACTCCTGAACACCCTGAGAGGAAATCCTGGACACCCAGAGAGAAAGAGTTGGACTCTGTGCTCTACAGCTTTCTATGATTATGGATTAGAAGTAGCTCTATACAGTAGTGTATATGTACAAAAATGTTCAAATTGATTTGACTCACAGCAAACGCTGATATGTCTGCTCCTGATAAGCCTGGTTAGTTACATAAGGTAAATAAACTCTTCGCAGAGCCGGGCAGTGATCCAGGACGATGTCGCACACATCAAAACGCAGAATGTCTTCTTCCAGCCGCCGCTCCAGGTCCTGAAGAAACCTACTGACAGCGAAAAAGACATACCATTAGAGAAAAAAAAAAGGTTGGTGAGGTGTTAGAGAGAAAGACTTGAGGGTAACAACATAAATTGTATCACTTCACCTCTCACTGACATCTTTGACTTCAGGCAGCTTGGAGAAGAGCCATTGCTTATGCTGAGCTCCGAGACACTCTGTGAGCTCCTGCGACAACATGAAGTGGTCCACAGCGATGGTCAGACTGCGGATGTACGAGGCCTCCGACGTCACCAGCTCAAACTTTGCCTGAGTTATGGAAGACACAGTGAGACAGGAATCCACAGTGCATGACCTATTTAATTGGCACATGATCATTACAAGTATAAAATATTGCAATGGATTATATAATTTTTTGGAGACATTTTTGTTAACTTAGCTGCGTGGTTGTACAAAGAGCCATGAAAAAACAACAACAGCATGACAGGCCGTAGACCGTACTATACCAACTCATTCTACAAAAGTCCCAAAATCCACAAAGGTGACTCTGATGGAAGCAAAGAAGGGGGATTTAAACTAAGAGAAGCGTGAGGAAGAACCGCAGAATGGCGAAACACAGCCTAATTCAGTGCAAAAAAACTGCAGTTCCTTGACTGTCCACTTGAGGCTGGTTGCTAAAGCTCCAGTTGTTCTATTAAAACCCAAATTACAATTTTTACAGCTGAAATAAACATGTTTACAGGCTGGTTCAGGAAGCGTGTTTGGTCTGAAACTCTTTCATTTTACAAACTCTATGGGGTGTGATTTCTTAAATAAATCATCCATTGTCCGTGTCTGTTCTGAGTGACAGTGTTTGCCAAAGGATCACCTCAACTTCACGTCTTTGACTCTTGCTAAAATGATCAATAATCGGGTTTAGACAACATCATAATATGGAGACTGCCATCGTTTGGGTTCAAAACTTTCCGTCAGACATCTACATCACTGAGCTACATCCATATTTTACTCTGACTATGGGATTGTCAGACAACAGTGATGTGTTATGGCATCATTGAGAGACCAAGCATGACAATAACACTCGGCTGATGCAGGAAACTTGCCTGTGTAAATAAAAAAATCTCATCCATCTCATTCACCTCCTGCAACTTTCTTTCCTCATTGCTGAAGTTGTCGAGCTGTCCGCTGGATCGAACGTCTGGGATGTCTTGCCACAGTGCAAAGGCAGAGCCTCGTGATGAGCGAAAAGAGCTGGATGGAGACAGATTAGAAGGAGATGGGGTCCCATCTGACCCCTCGTCCCTGAGCCCCTCCTCCTCTGTCCCCGGCTCTTTCCCCTGCTGTCTCTGGATCTCTCTGTTGATGGCAACATCACTGTATTCCTGGTACAGAATGGCTGAAGGACATATTGAAAGAAATAACAATGTTATGGGAAAATGTAATCAAGTCTCAGTTTAAGTATTAAGGTGCAAAAGTTACAGTTTTCCACTTACAGCTTGGCAAAAACCTTGATAAGCGATTTGAATTAGCAACAGTTGGAAGTGTGCCCGAGTCCTCCTCTATGGATTTCTTTCTCATTCTGTGAAGTAAACATGATTTCACGTGAGTGCTGCAAATCTTTATTAACTTTCAGATTTTGTGATGAAATATTTTAGAAGTGTATTTACCCAAGTTTTGTGCTCCACCGATGTAAAGGCATGCCATTATCACTGCTGGGTGGCAGAGAAGGTGCAGGTCCTACAGGACTTTGGGGGGCGCTATCAGTAGAACCACCTGAGCAGCGGTGTTTGGTGTTGGACTTACCTAAAGAGAGCAGAAGGAGCAGGTATGACATCCAGCAAGAGACAGTGCTTTGTGTAACTCTTTGATTACAGGCTGACAGGTGAATTATTAGCTGAATGGTTGCAGAAACGTGCGTTTTATCACTCCTTGAAACGTCAGATTATTTTTGGATAGATATATGACTCTGAATAATTAATGTAATCAAGTGGCTCCTCAATGTGTTGGCAGTTCAGCTAATAGTTCTGTCTGAGGTGTTTGGATGAGCTGGAGAAACTGTGTCATCCATGTTTAGAGATGGGATGTCCCCCCTAGTTGCAGCCAACCAATGGGTATGGTACTTGGGCTTCAGAGGACTAAGCAGAGGGGTGCATCCTCATGGTAAGACACAGAGTGAATATTTAAAGGAGAACATCTCCAACCAAAAACAATCATGTTGAAGTGTGATGCACAACTTGTCACTTCACGCCTCCCTGATGCACTTCTGTCCCTTTTGATTGGATGTTGACGTTGAATGCTGCAGTGCATCCCGAATTTCCCCTCTGGGGATCAATAAAGTACTATCCTATACAGGCAAAAGATACTTAAGAGATTTGATTGGAGGGGCCAAAGCATTTGGACTGAGACGCATTTATCAGATTGGAATTACAATCCAGACTTCATCCTTACAGGTTTTAGATCCAAATTGCAAAATTTTAAATTTCTGTCTGTTTATTATGAAACAATCTATGTTCAACCCAGTATAAAAAAAATGGATTTGGACTGGCTGAACGAGGCCTTATATAAGGCTATATAAAGAATAGTTTAAATCCCAGTAAAATAGTTAAAGGGATGTGAACCCTAACCCATTAGCACTTTTTCCCAATCTGCATACTCAGTATGTGGCATGTGACACTGTTGTGTAAATGGTTTTTATACCTTTTTTTAGTCTGTTGTGACACACTTTGTACACTTTTTGGGCGACATTTGCATTTTTATTGTACCAGGATGTTGGTTTTTCTACTCACAGTCCAGGTTGGGGCTGAAGTTGTTGGAGCTCTGTCTGTCCCGGGAGGCTACCCGAGCAGAGAGCGACTTCCCCAGCTTTAAGGTGAAGGAGTTCTTCCTTTGAGACAGCTGCAGTCTGGATATGAGTTCTGAAGCTGAGAAGCGCCGCCGTTCCTGATCGCAGAAGCGACTGCGGGTCATAAAGCTCCCCCCTGTGGCGCTAAATGTCTCTACAGTCCTGCTGTCTTCCCCTAGACATGGAAGTGAGTCCTCTATAATCTGCAGTGGTTCTTCAGGGAGGTTAAAAATGTCATCATGACTGAGGTTTGAGAGATCAGTGACACCGTCTGTGGAGGACGCACTTGACATGGCCTCCAGTGAAGATAGTCCACTGAGGTCCTCCTCCAGGAAAGAAGCGAAGGGTCCTGGGAAGATGAAGTCCGGATCCAAGATTGGGCTGCTGAGAGAGTCATCGCTCAGGCTGTCTGGAGAATAAACCTGCATCTTTCGTCCTGGAAACAAAACAAAAAGACTCATTAGATAACAGTTACAGATTTACTTTGTTAATTTTTAATGTCGACTACATTCATAGAGAAAGAAGCTTCACTCTCACGGATAGACTTCTCTTTCAGTGAACCCTGGGACGTCCTCCTCTGTGGCTGGCAGGAGTCCGGGCCCTGAAAACCTGGACCTTCAGGTGAGGATGGGGAGCAAGGTGCCTGAGATTCCCAGGAGTCTCTGTTTGTGTATAAAGAGGACAGAGGCAAGGACAGAGGGAGGCTAAGAGCTGAGTGGAGGGGTCGACATATTGTTGTGACACAGCGTGGCTTTTCAGTTTGCTCCTTCAAAGAAGTCCTGATACCATTCTGGCATTTAAGATCGCTGTCTCCCACAGGTGTGTCAGAGTTCAAAGTCGTTTCATGCTCATTGCGTGTCCTATGGCAGCTCCTCTGCATGTCGTTCAGTTCATTTAGTGTGTGTTTTAATCCATTCAGGGGCTGTGATTGTGTTGTGCATTGTGTGTCTGGAATAACAGTTTGCCTCGGGGAGCCGAGTCCGTTTATTTTAGGCGTCACTGTTGGTTGTATCTCAATAAAAGCCAGCGTCTCCTGCTGGCACACGGCAACATGCTTGTGGTGGCAGGGATGGAGGAGAGGCCTGTCCTCCTGGGCCTCGCTCAGAGCCTGGGACTCTCCTGAGGCAGGGATCCACATGCTGGGGCTCTCTCCTCGGAAGTGAAAAGTGTGACGGTGGGGTTGGAAATCAGGAAAAGGTGAGAATCCATAACCAGGGAGCATGGCTGAATGAACACATGGGAGCTGCAAAAGAAGAGAGAGGGAACATGAATGTGTTTGAATCCACCCCAAAATAACTTTTGTTTTTTTCAAGCACACATTTCTTGAATGAGGAGTTCCAACGTCATTCACTTTTGTTTAATTTGAATGCAAACTAGAAAACCAACGACACAAGAGATTTTCAATTTAATGTATTTTGAACCTTTTTCCCTGCATAAAGTCAATTATGACCAAATAGAAACGACTTAATAGTGTTTTTCATTCATGAGGGCTCACATGAACACCTGGTGAGAATAAGCACAGGAACAGAATAAGAATAAGGACAGCCTCAAACAGGAATGTCGTCTCAGTGACGTCATTCATGCACAGTTTATGTGAACAAAGAAATCAGCTAAAGAGACTAGAACTGTTTTTTTTTTGTACCAGCATGGAACATGTTTGATACTGTTGCAAAAATGGACATTTTAACATGGGACCTAATGGGGGGATTCCTTGTCTTTTTCAAGTGGACACCCGAGGAACTGCAGATTTTTGCACTCCCACAATTTCTTAATTTTTCAACACCACTGCTTGGTTGGAATCACTGTACCTTCAGTTATAGTGTGGATGTCTGCATAAATGCATGCAACAGAAAACAGAGGAAAGAGAGAAAACTAATTGTGCCTTGTAAAAAAAAGTGGTATTAGTCAGAAACCAAAACAGCAACAGGCCACTTATCCATCTACCAAATAAGTCAACAGCTGACTGAACACAACTCTCTGTCAGCTGCTCGGCTCAGTGTCACCAGGAGATTCCACAGACTTGACCAAGTGTTACATCGACTATTCAATTATAATGAACGGTAAGCAGTGCTGTGTACATTTCACAAGTGTTCAGTATGTGAATGTTTAGTTGATGGAGCTGGTGGAAAAATTGCTCCCAAAATGGCTCATGTTTAGATTCATGCAGGATGTATGACACACACATACTGTATCTACACACTGAGGAGATTCTCCTGGAGATAGCGAGATGGATCCTGGAACCATTGACGCTTGCAGGATGCTTCCCAGTTTTGCATGGTCACACACACACACACACACACACACACACACACACACACACACACACACACACACACACTCAAATGTGCGCTTAAGTCTAGGTAAGTGTGTCTCCTGAGCCGTGTCTTCCTGCTTTAATTAAAGACCACTCTGCATGCAGCATTCAGCCCCTGTACTTAACATCTCTACACACACACACACACACACACACACACACACACTAATAGCAACACACCAGTTCCAGACAGGATACCACATGAGTCAGACAGACAGAGGAAGAGACATCCTCAGCACTCTCACCTTTCACCTGAGATCTAAACTCATCCATCACTCGGGTTCTTCCTGTCAGCTCAAGTTAGCGAACAGTTGTCTTTCCTGATTGAATATTTACCGTGAGTGTGATCAAACCGACCAGGTGATCATGAATTTAGCCTCCCTCACAAAACACACACACACACACACACTTGTGGAGCTTGAACTCAAACATGCAAGAGGAAAGGTAAAACAAATACAGTCCATGAAGTATGTGCAGATGTAAGAAGAGAAACAATAGACGATATATTCTTCACATTGTAGTCGCCCAGCTCACTCATTTTTGTTCACATCATATTATAAAGCTGCTATAAACCGTCTGTCTTGCAAAAAACAAAATGATAAACATTTATATGAATATGTGGAAGATTAATATTTTAATTTTTTAATTTTGATTCTGTGTGACGTCATTTGAAGCGTTCATCAATCTGCCTTTTTTCCTGCTTCATACTCTGAAAACACATTCAACTGCACGGTGTGTAATTAATAGCACAGAGAAGGTCAAATCCTGTGAATGTTAATTATTAAACTTTTTATTTCTTTTATCCATTTGTTTACATTAAACATCCAGTTATACACACAAATCTTTGTTATGGATAACTCATTGTAATAATGAATTACAAATCTTTATGACATATTTATATTCTAACAGACAGACAAATAAAGCATCAAATTAAACTTCCATGAGAACCTCTTAAAGGCCTTGAAGCATCTTTTTATAGTTTTTAAAGTATGATTTGTTTATAATGATGTTTGTTGCCTGGAGGATAAGAGGCTGAGAATCATTGTTCACCTTCTTTTTATGGAGCGCACATGTGCTGTACCTTTGTGAATATGAGGCTGTTGAAAAGCCACACCTGTTCTCGTGGCAACGGGAGACGACCGAGTCAATCCTATCTCTCCCTGTTTCTCTCTTGCACTCACACACACGTTGCATGTACGCGCACACACACACACACACACACACACACACACACACACACACACACACACACACACACACACACACACACACACACACACACACACACACACACACACACACACACACACACACACAGAGCAGAGCAGAGCAGGCACAAATGGTTACCTGTTCTCTGCTGCAAACAAAGCAGCCTTTATGAGTGTGGTTGGGCCGAGCTGCCCTGAGCACAGGACACCTGAGAGGGTGTGGGAACTGTTTACACTGATCAGCTCGTATAGTGCAGCCACTGAGCCATATAAACACGCTCAGAGCATTGCTGCATAAAAACACAAGCTCTACCGGTGTCTGCATGTGATTACCGTCTGGTTACAGTGTAATCCTCCTGCAGAAGTGCAGCATTAACTCACCTTAATGCACCTCTATGTGCACTCTGTCATGTGAGATTAGAGGTGAATTATTCCCTTTTTAACATTGTATCATCTAGACTAACTATATGTCACGATCATCTTTAAAGATAACCCCAATGACTGAGTGTTCACATAATCCCCCAACCGACAGCCAAGTGTCTCATAAATCAACACACTCTCTCTGTGGAAAATTAGCTATCTGCTATTTCATCAAGAAACCTCAAAGATCCCAAAAACTGACGATAAGCCTGACCGCCGTATTCATCAAAACATGAAAGCATCCGATTACACGCACTGCACATTCCTCAGGCTGATAAAATTATACAACTCTATTAAAATTTCAATTCCAAAGACGTGTAATTTCCCTTGTCATAGCAGGGTGTTATTTGTGACTGTTATGGGCTTTGCTGCCAGTCCCTCCCCTCTGTAATTTCACCAGGCTGCTCCAAGACGCCATGTCTGCACACAGCACTTAATGAACAGCACTGTGGCATGCCTTCAACGCCAGCAGCCATTTTTTTTTTACTGTGACATTTTTCATCTTTAAGGTCTCAGAATAATCTTTTAATGGGTTGTATCACATAAATATGGATGATTCTGCGTCTTCCAGAGCCAAACATTGTGTAATCACATAATTAAAGTGTGTTTGATGTTTGCCAGGGGGGGAGATGAGGGTGTTAAAAACAAACGGATCCACTGTTTCAGCTGTTTGTGGTGAAGAAATACTTCTCTACCAAACATACCTTTCTAATCATTCAGAGCTTTCAGGTGTCAGCAGGTAAAAGGCAATGTTTTAATTCGTCATGAAGCAAATGTATAAGATATAATATTATAAACTATAAAATGCGAAAGAGTAATGAGAGCCACGTTTTGCTTTACATTCACTGAGAAAGTTCTGTCTTCTACTGTATGTAGAAAGGAGGCTTGATACAAGCTCACAGAAATAGCTCACAGTGCAACATCTGGAGTAACTGTGGAAACTCTACCAGGGTATAAAAAAATGTAGAAGCTGGGGAAAGAGCAAGAAATCGTGTTTAATGGTGTTTTACTCGACTTTAATCACAGTCAGGTCTCCAGCTCATATTTGGGTTCTTACGGTCATTGTTTGTTTTTGATGGATTGGAGAAAAATTCAGGTGCAAAGTCGCTGACAATAATCATCTTACTTTGAAACCATAGGGGGTGAAAAGATGAAAAGTAGCATGTTTCATATTCAATGTTGTAAATACAACCATGTCATACACCGTCTAAAAGAATCAAAAGACTCCACGTCTGATTCTCAGCTATCTGAGAAGCCAGAGAGCAGCAGTGCACTTTGCTTGTCTCAGTATAGTTCAGAAAAGATGTTCAGGTTTTTTCTTGAGTCAGACATTTTAAGCTTCATCTTTAGAAAGACCTCAAATTCTTCAACTAGAAAAAAAAATCACCTATTTAAGGAATCTAAACTATTGCCTGATAAGAACATGATCAACTTTACAGTTGATTTTCCGCCACAGTAGAATCAGAGCACACGTCTCAAAGGCCTCTGCTCAGTGTCTCCATAAGGTTGATACAGGCTACCATGCATCTGAGAGTTCAAAACAAACTGTAAAGCTCTGATTGTGAGTGGTACTCTCAGGTAGGATGGCGTGCTCTGACAACACTTACTCATACACTGGTACACCTTTATATATAAGGCAATGCTTGGTCTGCTTCCTCACTATCTATGTGTTGTTATCATACAGAAAAGTCAGCGCAGTATTCTTTACGTTCTCAGAACCTCTTTATGTCCTCTGTTCCAAACACTCGGACAGAAATTGTGAAAAGGGCTTTTAGGTATTCTGCACCCTGAGCCTGGAATCTGTTGATGAGTGACTTGAAACTCAAGGAGCTGGTGTCTTTTACACACTGCAAATTGAGTCTATGCTTGTCATATGAAACGTTCTATATGAATAAACTTGACTTAAATGAAAGACTTGGTAGCAGATTCTCTAGGATGTCGATGCTTTCAGTTTGACTTCTTGAACTGCTGACTCCAGATTTGACTCATAGTTCATTCTCTTTTAATGCTAAATTTGAGTGTTTTGTAAATTGTACTTTGTCTCTCTTTGTGTCTCTGTCTGTAACTTTGGGTTTGTGCTGCTGACTGCCTCGTCCAGGTCTCCCTTGGAAACAAAGTTCTTAATCTCAATGGGACAGACCTGGTTAAATTAAAATAAAAAGGCAGGGGCTTGCTAAGAAGATACATTTTTTATGTTTTAAATCAAATTCTATGAAAAATAATTCAAGCAAACAATTAATCATTTCAGCTGTTCGATGGCGGCTAATGTGTATTTTTACTCATTTCGATTAACACTTTTCT